GTCCGGCAGGGAACACTGGGCGTGGATGGTCGTGGTTGAGGTCCGGCGAGGAGGAGAAGAAGAAGTCAGCTAACATAAAATCTAACAACCCTCACCTGGCAGATGGGGAACTATTCCTACTGTCGTTATAACTGGTTGCGCACCGACCGTCCCGACCATCCCGACCGTCCCGACCATCCGGACCAAGCGTCTTGTCGACGCTGATCCCTAACTAACGCTGATTCGGCGAAGTCGAATAAAAACTATTCCTACTGTCGTTATAACTGGTTGTGCACCGACCGTCCCGACCATCCCGACCGTCCCGACCATCCCGACCGTCCCGCTAGAATCTGATCCTACGACGCTGATCCGGCCAATTAGAATCTGATCCCAGACGCTGATCCGGCGAAGTTGAATCTGATCCGGCAATTACCCGCGAAACCTGTGAGAAGCAAGTCGGACTGACCCGATCTTTGTTGCGATCAACAGCTGGGATGAGAGATGTTCACCCGGCAAGAAAGCATGCAACACCTTGAGTGCTGGAAAGCATGCAACACTCTACCCTTGCAGACTTGCAGCTCCCGCATTCCCCACCAAGTCACCTGCTTGGGACCTATGATGCACTGCAATACTACTTGACCCCGGCCCCGGGCTTAGGGTATCCGTCCCTTCGTTCCACAGTCCGGACATATGGCTGAGCTCTAAGGAAACCCCCACATGTCACACCAACGAACCCCAACAAAACAACGAAGGTCCCTTTTGGGAGAACCATTGGGTGCACCATGAAGCGACTGCTTGATGGTCGCACCGCCTCAACTGCACTTCCCTGAAAAAAACCGACTCTAGCCTTGAGTACCAGCTGTGCAAATATGCTTTTTGCAGATGCAATGGTTCTCTGCAAGGCATTCTCAAACAGGCAAGGAGCTCTGATCGACCGGAAAAAGAACACATTCCTGCAGCCTGCAGCCCGCCACCAGTTCACCACAGCCACCAGGACCTGCACCCACCAGCTGCGTTGCTAAGAACACCTACCCCAATGTTATTGTTGAAGAACACGCAACTAACACGACCAGAACACGCAGCCTGCGGAAAACGATGCACGGACATGAAGTCATCCACCCACGAATGTGTGACAGAGCACTTGACACTTGATTCAGGCTCAAGTTCGCCAACATCTCCGCAGTTGATCCGCAAGCAAAAGCCGGGCTTTCCGCTGAAAAGGTAGAAAACATTCGGCCATGGCTCAGAACACGCCAATCAAATTGTTCCGCCGCTTTCTTCACACTTAAACTTAAACCCCAAAGCATGTATCCAGCTTTCTGGGGGCAAACAGGCCGCTTGCCAAGAGAAACAACACAACTCAATGGTATGCCAAGCACGCAGAAGAAAGTTTCGAAAGGTGATGCTGCCGAAGCAATCAAAGAGGTGCTGCCTCTCTGTCTGTCGGGAGCAAAATAAGTCTGGCGTAACATCCTCACAATCCAAGCCCCAGCTCGACTCCACCAATACAACAACCATCTCACCACAAAACACAAGAACGGTAGGCGGGCCAAGCCTTCCAACGAAAAACTGAGGAGGCCAGAGGCCTCTGCGGGTCCTGCGACACCAATCACATTCCCTGGTGAGGCGCGGGATGCGACGAATAGCAGCAGGTCATCGATGAATCATGCGGTGGAGGAAGATGGGGTTGGTGGTGAATCTCCACGGACTCCCAAAGATTCGGGGCTTCATCCCGGCGCCCAGCCTCCAACAACGGACAGGACGTGGGAGCGGGATTTTCAAGCCAGGCTGGGTAGACAGAAGGGGCGTCTCAATAGCGCCTTATAGGTGAATGGATCTGTAGGGGTCAACTCCGCCCAAACAAGCTAGGTCAACTCCTAGTCAGATCAAAGGGTCAACTCCTTTCAAGATCTGATGCCAGTTTTTGGCTCACCTTGAGCCAAAATGTTGCAACAGAACCTTTTCTCTTCTAAGTCACACCCAAGCCTGCTATTATATATGCCTGAATAAGATGTCCCATGCTTACCAGCTGCCGGTGTCTTTATTCCACCAATCGTACCGGCCAGGGAGCCCTTCTCGATGCCAATGCCCTCCTTCAAAAGCACGTGGACCACAGGAGCGAGGCAATTGGTGGTGCAGGAGGCGTTGGACACCACGTCGTGGCTGGCCTTGTTGTACTCGGTGTGGTTCACGCCGCACACCAAGGTCTTCAACTCGCCCTTGCCTGGGTGAACGAATCCATGCACTAAACCCAAACTGAGTCCCTTTGCGTTTTGCGTGAATCCTTGAGGTGCTGGTTGTATAATGACAAAATGGAGAGCCTTATGGCCTGACTTCAACGCGTGACGCGTGGTCCTTAATCCCCAATCATCTTAGTCCATCCGAACGCGTCGTTCACGCGCGTCGGGTCCGCGACCTGGGGCAGAGATGATGACCTTCTTGGCGCCCGCTTCGATGTGCCCCTTGGCCTTGTCCGCCTCGACGAAGAGACCTGTCGCGGGTCTCTGTCTCCCGCGCGCGAAGAGAGGGGTCAATCCGCGGAGGGTGTTCTTGGCAGTTTTGATGAGCCCGGCTAATGCCTGACCCTTCGGCTGGAGAGAATAAGAGGGAAAAGCCTCGACCGGTCAACCAATGGTTTGATTTACAGGGCACCTGTGCTTTCGATCACATACTCCACGCCCATGTCCTGGCAGCAAGAGAGGAAGCGGACAGCATTGATAAGGCCCAACAATTTGGTGTTCTACATCTCCGAGAAGCTTGAAAAGGGAATAATGACTTCCTCTTCCACTGCAGAACCCCGCGACCTTCATCAAACGAATGTACGATATCCAGCCAGTTGTCATAAAAGCCCTTTTGCATGTTCCGTGTTAAATGTAACCCGTTGAGTCGGATGCAAAAACCGTCCGCATGTCTCTTACAAACCGGTCCTTCCATGGCAAAGCTTTTGGGCCCTCGCGGCTGGCTTGAATGCACTTGATCTTGTGGCCGTTCACGATCAGCTCATCCTTCTCGCCAATCTTCACGTCGTGCTTGAACTTCCCATGCACCTCGAATGCCAATGCGCCATGCTCGGCAGTCAAGGGAGGAGGGTGTTGTTACTTGTTGGGCAAAAAAAAAGGGTGCAAACGGGGCAAGCGAGGAAAACGAAATCCAAGGCCAGAAGTCACTGAATCCAATGCCCTGGCACAGTGTCATACTTCATCTGGTACCTTAAAAACGACTCGATTTTGGCTGAGAAGACTGAACTTCTTGGAGCAAACTCCTCAAAACTCCTATGGTAGGGTATTCCCTTGGAAATCAGCCGATCGTAATGTCCGTTTCGATCCATTCCACTCGTGACTGTTCGCACAAGTCATCAAAATCTTCGCTTCGGCTGGGCTACGCAAAGTATTCCGCATCGGTCGACATATCCACGACGCCGACCACATCCAGCTCTGTGCCAAGGAGGTTCTGATCACAAATGGCCTGGAAGACCATGCGGCCAATACGGCCAAATCCGTTGATACCAATCTTGGTTGGCATGGCTGGAGTCAAAAGCGGTCAACTGACACGGGGTGCTTTCACGAGAGTTTGAACCAATGTGCTAGCCCAGCGCCACAAGCTCCGACTGGGCGCCATGAGTTTTTTTCAAAGTTTTTCGCACTCGTCTGCGATCACTGACAATGCTGGGCGCCATCACTCGCAATTTCCAGCGTTTACCACTCTTTTGCTTTATATCCTATGCCAATTTGGTTGAAGTGCCAGTCAAGCTCCGTCCAAGGGCCAGGCTTTGCATGAGCAAGGGGAGGTTGCTGCAGGAATGCCCTGCACGACACGCGTTGTCTCGTTTGGTATCATCCTTTGGTCTCCTTCAAGCTCCTTAGCAATGCCAGTCAGTAGAAGCGTAAAGAAACCTCATGTAGACTCTTGATTGTATAAATAAACCCGGCCCCATATAAAGAGGAACTCTAATCCAAATGAGGAGGTATTAATCAAGAGTCTACATTACATAAATAGTTACGAAATGCCGGCAGTCTTTTTTCTTCAAACAACCTGGCAGGGTCAAAACACTTGTTCTACAAGCCCCACATACCTACCACAAAACCAGGACCGCACGCGGCGTCACCCAGGGTCACAAGACCAGAGGACTCCTGGGCCGCCGCACGTACCAGAGGACTCCTGGGCGAGAAACTGACGATCGAGCCGCACGTGGCTTGCGGCGGTGGATTCCAACACACTTCTCGTCTAGGCCCAGTTTGAGTCACAAAGTTTGATGCGAAGGCACACCCCTAAATAGGCAGGTGGAAACAAGAGTAACGAGAGGAACAAGAGCTTTATTCACTTTTTAATAAGCTCCTCACAGTGACTGATGTGACTAAGTGCGCGAAAGCACTTGAAGCTGTTTTCGGCTCGCTGAAGCCGACCCAAACCCCAGGTGCGAAGACCCCCGTCGGCCATCCTGGTTCTCGAGCCAACAATGGCCCATGGCGGTCAACCAAAAACCGGGGGCACCGTGTCTTCTTCCACACCAAGCGTGACAGAACAGAATAGACATGAATAGACGACCTAGTTTCCTACCAGGATCTACGTTCGTACCAGGGGTGGTTTTCACCAAAAAGCCCAAGCCTTCGGACCGGCACGGATGCCGAGAGTTTCGGACGAGAAGCATAGTAGTCCCGCAGCACGGTGAGGGCGGAGCGCACGCCTTGGGGTGACGTGGGGTGACGTGGTGGGGGCAACAGCGTCGGCGCCGCGTGGTTTCACCACAGCGTGGTGAAGCACGCTGGGGGCGAAGAAAGTGGGGCCAATGAATTGGGAAGTAGCCTGGCAGGTCTGATGTGGTCTGATTGGGTCTGATTGGGTCTGATTGGGTCTGATTGCTGATTGGGTCATGAACTACTTGAGGCTGGACCTCTGGAAACAAGAAGTTCAGCTGCGCAAAACACAAAGAGCCACCTTTTTGGACGAATTCCCAACCAGTCGCAACAACGTGGTTGCAGAGGCATGTCACGAAGTGAAATGATGACATCGCACGCTGCAGAGGTTAAGATTCTCATGCTGTTCTGACGCTGTACTTCGTGCACCGGTGTAGCAACCAGAACCCCTCTCTGAGCATCAGAGCGGGCAGGAAAATTCCACCAGTTGGATCCAGTGGGGAACAAGTGTTTTAGACTTCACGGTTTTGCAAAGGTTCATGGTTCACGCTGGCAATCGACATAGGATACGATTTATATGGCTTCCGGCTGAGAGCTTTCCAGGCGGAGTCAAGCTTTCTGCGAAGATCTGGATAGTTTTCTCAAGTTTGCTATACACATATCCTGATACCAACAGACCATGATTGTCCCCCATTTTCCGCTTGGCTATGCCATTTCTCTTCGACCTTGTGCGTGAGTTTCTCCAGCCATTGCTTGTTTCTGCCAGCACATGCTGAAGTGAGGAGATTCTGGGGCCAGGTGGTTCCTGCCAAAAAGGACCAGTCAGTCCCTGCCAAATCCTTTTTTCGACTTGATATAGGAACTTGCAGAAGGAAAAAAAATTGACGCCACGAGAACATTGTTTTTGACAAGCTGAGTGGTAGAAGCAGTGGCACATCATGATGGCAATTGAGTGCGATTTGATGAGGTTAATGATGATCCATGAATGCACAGCAGCTATGAATTGAACTTTGCCAATCACAAAGAGAGAGAATGGATTCTGACTTGCTTTTGTGCGCGTTGATTTCAGATGCGTCAAGAAATTATGCTCTGCTGAATGCGCTGCCCAAAACAGTACACTGCAACTGCCCAATCAGTATGTGAAACTGTGCGACTGAATGGCATGAATATATCATTGACCCTAAAGTTGGAAAACGCGGTTGTTTCAAGCAGAACCATGGAACCCTAACCCGGCCGATCACCGGCGAAAAGGACACCACTCTTCGGCCTTGTCCGTGGCCCTCACTCGACGTCGATCCCACCTTCCAGTCCCTGCTCGAGGTCAGCCTTTTGCTTTTTGAAGACAGCACCTCGGTGTCTCACCGCGGAGGGAGCTGCTGGACCTGGACCCGCAGGTCCCACAGCTCTGCCGCACTTGCGTTCGACTTGCAAGTGCAGTAAAGGACGGAAAGGTACTCTCAGTCTCTCTCTTGAAGCCCCAATCTTCTCCTGCTTTGCTTTTTCTGCTGGTGGATTCCGTGTTCTGAGGCATGTGCTCTCTTCCCGACGAGTGTCATCCATCTCAATCTGGCGACACGTCAATGCAAAAGACCGTCTTCCCGAGGACTCCGGGCATGGCCAGTCGACATACACTCCCTGAAATCAGCCATGGTTACGTGGCATGGCATGGCCCCGGTTTAGGCCATTCGCCTCCTCCCGACCAATCATCAACATCCCTCAAATTCTGATCCAACCGACAGGTCACAGCTCCATTGAAGCTCTTCCACCCCGACCCCTCGACCTGAGCCCCCTACGAGCCACGCAAGTGTGAAATGAATCATGATGAACCAGGTCATTCCAGTTAGCATGCAGTTGGCCTCTCATTCCAACCTGCAGGTTCCGGTTCGCAAGGGCACGACACGACGCCCTTGGCTCAAGCCATGACGGAAAAGGCGTTCGCAGCCTTTTGCACGTTTGTTTTGAGTTGGGTGCACATTCATTTTCAGATTGGCACCGGAGCTGTGTTCTCCTTAGGGACCTCACGATTCGGCAATCCCTTGGTTTGTTCGTTTTGGGGGCACCTTCACGCTTCTGCGCCGGAGCTCATGTCGGCGCTTGAGTGCCTTAAGTGGCACCGGTTTTCCGAGGCATCGGAAGCCACCCTGGTCGCTGGCACCGAGGGCAAAGGTGTTCCACGCTATGATGGGACCCCTTCGACCCTCCAAGAGTATGCCTTCCGGGTGCGACTACGAGCTGCACGGGATCAGGCTATGGATCCCAATGAACTGAAGAAGCACGGACCCTTGGGGCTACGCCTGATCGATGGGCTCACTGGAGCTGCATTGCAGGTTGTGCGGGAGGTCGAAGTCTCCAAGTTGGCTGAAAAGGATGGTCATGAGCTGTTGCTTCGCCACCTATATCAGGCCTTCAGACCCCGCCGACAACAGGAAGCACGAGAGCTCTATGCAGCTGGAGCTCAAACCCATGGAGTCCTTAGCCGGCAGAGCGGTGAACCGATGACCTCGTTCCTCTTGCGTCGACGAACCTGGTACAAGATGCTCTGCGATTTAGATGACAAGTTGGCCCTGCCGGAAGCGATCTTGTCGGAACAGGTTTTGATGTCAAGTGGCATTTCAAGCGACCACCAGCTCCTGATCCGCACGGCATTGGCCGGGAAGATGACGGTGAACGATGTCTGCAATGAACTCATTGCTCAACATCCCAACATCCATGAAAAGGAGCTTCGACATCGACAAGATCGACATGATCACAGGTTCAGCCGCAGCGGAAAAGGAAAGTCCAAATCCTTTCACACCTGGTCACCACCGAGCTATCAGGATGTGGCTGCATTGGCTGAAGACCACTGGGAAGATGCTTCGCAGTCCCTTGGAGGCTATGAGGACTATGATGACCCTGCCTCCTACTACACTGGAGCGTCCGAAGAAGTTGATCCCGGCTATGAGCCACCATCCAGTGAGGTGGACTATGCAATGGAGTCCTATGCCGCTTTGGTTGAAGAAGGCTTGGACGTGAACAACAGTGAAGCCGTGGACTACGCCTGTGAGGTGATTCAGCTTGAGGCCGAAGCCATGTTCTTGCACAACAAGGCCCAGAGTCAAGGCCACAGTGGATTTGGTGGAAAGAGTGCTGCCAACTACTGGTACCAGAACAAGGGGAAAGGAAAAGGTTGATCTGGCACCCCTGACCGACGACGCGCTCTTGAAGATCTCAAGAAGAGAACCACCTGCCGTCGCTGTGGACAATCTGGCCACTGGAGCACGGACTACTCATGCCTGAAGCATCCAGGCAGCAAGAAAGGTGGCAAGTCTTCATCATTGGCTATGACTGGAACGACCACTACGGCTTCCAGCGGTGGCAAGAAAGGCAAGGGCAACAAACCTCGAGTGGTCTACTTCTCCGTGACTGAGTATGACGAGGACCAAGAGGAGCCCTATGACCTTGAAGCGCAGACCTATATGGCGGTCACGAACTATGGCAGTGTTCCTCCGCCTTCGAGCTTGGCTGATGGCACCATCGTGACGACTCCAAATGAGATGTCTGCTGATCAGATGCTTGACATGGCCCTTCAACAAGCACGCATGATGCAGCAGCAGCAGACCCTGGCAATTCAGCAAGAGGCACATCAGCACCCTGTGCCGGATGATGCTGATTGGGAGGCTCATGAACTCGCCCTTCAGGACCATGGTGACGCTGCTTCAGTGATGAGCATATCATCATGGACTTTGCCTTCCATGCCTGGTCTTGCATCTCCATCTGTGAGTATGCCATCGCTTGTGGGTACGACGATTCCCTCAAGTATGACAGGCCTGCCGAGTATGCCCTCACAGTCGGGCTTAGCACCACCGAGTATGACCTCACCATCGGGCTCAGCATTTCTGGATATGCCTC